TATTTTTATCTTGACGTAATTTGGAAAGGAACTTAATTATATATAAATAGAGATGAGATGGGAGAAAGAGGAGGGTTATTGTGGAATCATTAATTTTTCGTAGAGGGCCAATGTTTGGATCATCCTAACCCACGAATATACAGAAAAATACGTGTCAGATCATCTTAATGTGTAGTTATTTTCGTCCCTTTTCCCCCGTTTGCACTTTCAAACAATTTTGTCCCGTTTTTAAATTCGCCTATTCACAGTTCTGTTTAAAAAATATACTGTTTTCTTTAAATTCGTTCCGTTTTAAATTCGTCCACCCGTGATTTTGGCAAACGGGGGCGAAAATAAAACGGGGCAAAAAATTCCCTGTATGCAGTATTTAATCTTCTGTATAGAGTGATTAGTGTACACATTATACGCTCATCAAACCATTAAAATTTTGGTTGCCTACAAATATCCACCCTCATGAATTTAAATAAAAAAAATGAATTAAAATGATCCCTTCCATAAATGAGAGCGAAGGTTCTTTTTTATTTTGGTTAATTTTTGGAATTACCGGTGGAATTTTTTTTATATAACAGTATAATAGAAATATTGGATATAAACAGAGACGCCGTAAAATTGAGATTTGAATATCTGCTGTGCAATCCCTTTTGGAAATTGCATTTGTTTTATGTAAATACCAGAAATATCAAGAAATTTTACAATACAGAGATGATGGTGCGTAACAAACACCTGGCTTGGGGAAGTAAGTACATAAATTCACCGATACACACACACACATACACACCCCCTCACACACCCCCCCCCCCCCACACACACAGAGAGAGAGAGAGAGAGAGAGAGAGAGAGAGAGCGAGAGAGAGAGAGAGAGAGAGAGAGAGAGAGGAGTGGTGTTCCCAAGTGCATTATACAGTTAACTATAACCGGTAGAAATACACAAGTCGGTGCTTCGTTTTATAATTTATTAACGGTCCAAAACTTGGTGTTTCTACTCGATCTGTGTGTCGGCGTGGACAATACAAGGTCCAGTTTCCAACTGACGATCATGTATAACACGGCCAATTTATAACAATGATGAAATAAACAATTAAAATGAAGATTTACTCTAAGCACTAAGCAGATACATAATTTACATAATTAAATTAATTAAATAATAATTAACATGTTCACTCAGGCACAGGTGGCATCAAATGTCTTGCGGTCAAGGTCTATAATTATGTTTTAATTAGCACTATCAAAGAATATAATTGTGACTCAAAATCTGTTCATTTCACACGGTCACAGTACCCCTTTTCCCCCCCGAAACACGTCCTCGTGTTTCCAAGATGGTCTGGCGTCTTCAGGCAAACTTCTGACAGTGTTGGAATTCCTTGGGTACTGTTTCCTGGCTCCACGGGGCGGTCCACTGTAGATGGCTTTCCTCGAGGAATGAAATTCTTTGTATTTCCGGAGTGAATTAATCTCCTCCTGTTTTGTTTTGGTGTCTTTCTGAAATTTGTCGATCACCTTTTTTGATTCCTCAAGGTCTTTTTGTACAGCAGAGAGTTTTTCCTGGAGTTCTTTGATAGTCTTTGTCTTTCTCTGATAGTCGAGCATTAGACGTTTTCCGCTCACGCATCCATTTGTTTTTATAAAATCGAGAATCTGATTTGTAGTGTAACAGGAAAGGAGAAAATGTATGGCTGGACCGGGAATCGAACCCGGGACCCCTGTATCTCCAGTCAGGTGCTCTACCAACTGAGCTATCCAGGCCGATATCCACGGCCCAAACCATTACATTCCTCCCTCCTTAAATGGTCTTCGCCCTCGAAGACACAACCCAAGTTCTTATTAGCCCCTGGCAGGACTTTCACCTGCAATTCCAGGGGTGGTCAACGGCACCAAATCTGTAACAGGAAAGGAGAAAATGTATGGCTGGACCGGAAATCGAACCCGGGACCCCTGTATCTCCAGTCAGGTGCTCTACCAACTGAGCTATCCAGGCCGATATCCACGGCCCAAACCATTACAGTAGAAAGCCGCCTGTTCCCGGAACTTTTCAGCTTTGGTTTCCAGAGTTTCGGAGTGAATTTCTATGAAACTGACAGATGAGAATGGCATTTCACTCAATATGGAATTCTGTTTACGATTTTTGCGAAATTGGATGATTCTTTCTTTGTCTCTGGTTTGCTTCCTCTTTGATTTCCTTCGCACTGTACACGTTTCGTCAGTCTGTGTTTCAACTGAGAGCGTCGGTACTGAAGACACAGCACAGATGGTACGGGAATTCCGTGTTTTACACATCCTAGCATAGTGTCCTCTTCTTCCACACTTGAAACATGTTGAATTCAGTGCGTTGCAGACGGTCCATCCGTGTCTTAATCCGCAGCGTCCACATTGATGTAAGGTGAAGCGCGGTTGGACTGGTCGCATCCACGCAGGAACAAATGGAAACATGTCCATGGTGAGGGGAATTCTGCTATGAAGAATTTGCAAACTCGCTTAGCTGTATGAGAGTACTGGGATCTAACTACTACAAAGTATATGCAGTAGCCCTGGGTAAATTACCCTTAGGAGTCTCCACCAAATATAACCGGTAGAAATACACAAGTCGGTGCTTCGTTTTATAATTTATTAACGGTCCAAAACTTGGTGTTTCTACTCGATCTGTGTGTCGGCGTGGACAATACAAGGTCCAGTTTCCAACTGACGATCATGTATAACACGGCCAATTTATAACAATGATGAAATAAACAATTAAAATGAAGAGTTACTCTAAGCACTAAGCAGATACAAAATTGACATAATTAAATTAATTAAATAATAATTAACATGTTCACTCAGGCACAGGTGGCATCAAATGTCTTGCGGTCAAGGTCTATAATTATGTTTTAATTTGCACTATCAAAGAATATAATTGTGACTCAAAATCTGTTCATTTCACACGGTCACATAACTAACAGCCTACTTCCGTATGATGCAACCCAAACTGAGACCATTTCACTTGCAACAAAAAATATGATGTTGGTAGTGGCATATGTGTTAATATATTCTATTCTATTGTATTCCATAGATTCATATGTATTTTGTACACTATGTACTCCATAGTCCAATATATGTTCAATTCATCAATTGTGTGCGATAAACATTATTTTAAAAATCAAAACATGTATAATATTAAGGTAAATATTTCTCTTTTTAATTGTAGGTCTGAACCTGGGGAGTCAGTTATTGGATAAGTCATCAGAAATTTGATCAGATGTCAAGTAATATAAAATAAATCAGTAAACGGGGTCTGTTGTTTCTTTTGATTTCTTTTCTTGTTCTCACGGAGTTTACGATGATAGGTTACGTATGTATACAAACTATTATAATTTGTAGTTTTCTGCTCTGGACATATTATTATGAGCCATATTGACTCTACATGATGAAGCGGAGAGGCTTTAAGTCCCTAAGATTGACAGTGCGATATTTATGATATTAATGATTTTATATATTAAATGACAACGGAAAATGGTAAAGTGTGTGTTATATATAATTAAAACGTATGAGTGGTTTTGTTGTTTAACTGTTTTATGATTTCAGATCGTAATATTTAAAGGGAGAATTGATAGTTTGTAATTCATTTACAGAGTTATCTCCCTTTATGCAGCGAATCTATTAAGCGCAAATTGTACATTACATAATATATTGATACAGATATATTAGACTATTTGTGCTATGTATTTATTATGTGTTATTATGATTTTTCAGGGCATTTTCCAATCATCCCATTTCAATGCTTATTTGCTTATTCCATTGAAAGAACTTTATTCGTTAATAACCAATATTTGCCCCCAAAATCAAACTTTGATGGAGATATATTTAATTAAGGTCAAGATCTAGCAAATAACTTTAGACTAATTTTTTGGTGCTAGATCCATTATGACGTCATAATCAATTTCAACTTTCTTTTTCCCGTACTTTACGGCTTTAGCAGAATTATGTAGAAAATAGGGTATTTTCGTGACATTCAATTTGAAATCATATGAAAAGTAAACCGGATACCTATATTAAATTTGATACTGATTTAAACAAGAGGCCATGAAAATACTAATTACCGTTTTCTGAGAGACTGTAGGTAATCTGGATACATTTCCTTTGTCGAATATGAAAAAAAACTCTCATATTCATGACTGGTTTTCTAAATTTTTCATTGAAAATGACAACTTAAAATACAGTTTTTCATCTTGATTACCTACTAATTATGCCCCGAAACACTTTATTTGACCAAGTTTAAGTTGTAAAGCATCAATAAAGGCAGTTATTTCTCAAATTTGATAAATCTGTAGGCACCTTTCATTTACTAGATCTTGACCTTAAGTTCTTAAACAGGGGAGTATATGTTGACTTCAAAGCACTGAATATTTTCATAAGTAATGACGCCATATGTACGTAATGACGTCACAAACATGACATAAATTTCAGTTTTTTATTAATTTTACAGAAAAATGTACATATTTCGTCGATATTTTGAGTAAAAGTCACCGAGCGCATGTGTGTTCAGGATCAATATTTTGATATAATGTGTAGAATGATAATATCAATGAAATATGTCAATATTGTTCCTGAACAAACTTGCGCTCTATAAATTTTAAAGCTAAAATTGTTGAAATTTTGTCCATTTTGTCCTCTTTCTGAAAAAGGATATAAAATCGGACTAGTTTGTGACGTCATAAAACAAAAATTGTGAATACACTGCTTTGTCACTATAATATTTTCTATTAATTTATATTTCTCATACAGTTTATTAAATTCAGCACATCTCAGGAAGTTTTCAAAATTTGACTTTTGTGGGGGCAAATATATACAATATACCGCATATAGTTCTTTCCCTATATTTCTACCAGATCGTTGCAATATGTAGAGTAAACAGACAATCATAATCACTCACCCATTTCACTGAATGATAATTAATTTAACATAAGTTATTAATATTTCTTTCTCTGAAAATGGTTGGGTTGTAACGAACTGGCATATTATATCGGGATCGGAATTTAAAATCTCTTAACCATGTAAATATTGTCGTGTGATTGTACTGACATTTTTTTGTTGTTGGGTTTGAATGTTAAAATCACGGTAAGACTTTAAAGTTTTAGAGAAGAAATTAATGTAATGAATTAAAAGTAAAAATATCTACAAACGATAGAGTCGAATATGTTTTTGTAAATAAATGATTTACATGTATGTTATGTAAAAACCCGTTTCGTCTACATCCCCAAGTGTACATGGTGTATAAGAAAACTTCCATTTGTACCTCCATTGTAGATTTATAAATATTTTGTAATGTTATAATATTAAAACATGATCACATTGATACGATATCTTTAAATGCCCCCTCTGAATCATCACTAGTCAGGAGCTCTACCAAATGAACTCTCTGGCCATTGGACGCTGTCTGAAAGAAACATTCCACACAGTGTCAAGACCCCCCCCCCCCCCCCCCTTCCAAAAAGAAAAGACACAAGGCCAGAAAAGGGCATGGATTGGTGTCTTCAGGGAAAAAAAGGAGGGAGGAATGTGGCAGTTCAGGGGGGATGAATTTGACTGCCAGTGGTCAGATAACTCATTTGGTAGAGCACCTGACTATTGGCTCTGAGGGTCTGGGTTCAAATTCAGCCTGGAATATTTACGTCTAAATACATTATTCTTGACAAGGAGATTAGGCCTTATAATTTTCATGTAATTTTTTCATCATTACATGATGTTGAATTACATATACAATTATACATAATTATATGTGTAATTTGCTGATCTGTTTGTTTAATGGTAGATGTCAGAGTTACAACTGCTGAATGAGGAAATGGATGCCAAGTTGATTCAGTTCTTTGACACTTTGACCTCCCTCTACCAAGAACAGGAGAAACTCAACGACCAAATCAAGGACGGCTTCTGGAACATGTCCAGAGCTCGCTACAGCATGGGGGTCAAATTTGTAGGGATGGATCAGATTCATGAGGAAGACATGCGGGCATCGACAAAGGTGAAGGTCACGGGGGAGGAGGAGGAAGAAGAAATGTTTGCTGCGTTCACCAATCTGGGCATTACAGAGGATGAGACCAATGAAGTAGAAAATGTAGGATTACGAAAAAGAAATGTTGGAAATTCTGAAGAAAATACTTCTCTATCAGACAAAAAGACAACCACGAAGAAGAAAGGTCAGCATGATCCCCTGAAATGGTTTGGTGTCCTAGTTCCACCAAGTTTACGACAGTGTCAGAGGCAGTTTAAGTCCTCAGTGGAAACCATCATTGCCATCGCAAACCTTAAACAAAAAATTCTCCTGATTAAATCTGAGTACTCAGATCTAAAGAGAAGAAAGGCTGAGATTTCCTCTAAGACAGTCCCAGTAGATTAAAACTACAGACTTCCTTTAACTTTTTTATTATAAGTCAGATGAAAGAATGCATTGTAATGAAGGAAATAGAAGAAAAAACCTCAAGGCCTATTAAATGTGTTAAAGGCGAACTGTGTATGAACTCTTTGCAGTAAAGTAATAAATTGCAAAGGAAAATTAATTTAAGTTATCCTGAATGAAAGTTCAAATGAGCAATTTTTAAAGTAAGACAGATAGTTACTAAAATTCTACCTGAAATATGCTTGCTACACATTAATCTTGATATATGTTGTGATGTTTAATTTCCTTGGCCAGATGCAATATTAAACAAGGAAAAGTTAAGTCATTTGTAGCTCTATTTATATACACGTGGCAGTTATTTTGGAATCTGTATCTAAACACTTTCTGACCACATAAAGATAATGATGAAGTTATGTTGAACTTGTTGAACTGCAATAGTATTAAGTTAAATGCAGGCTGATTTACTTAAAGTATGCCCTTTCTAAAGAGGTTTTGATAGAATTTTTTTCCACATGATTGTCCTTTCCAGAGACAGGGTTTGATTTATAATTACACAACCAATCATTTCTAGGTTTTGTTTATATTTATATTGATATTTAAGATAGCTCATTTGTTTCTTCATATCAGAAAGTTTGTTACTAGAAGATAAGATCAACCCAACCTACAGTTTATACTGATTACTCAGGCGCGGATCCAAGAATTGAAGTTAGAGGGGGCGCCAAAAGTAGGCAAGGGGTCTGGGGGCCGCCTGGAGGCCCCCAGTGGGTCCAGGGGGCAAAGCTCCTGGATACTAGAGATTTTGTAGGGCAAAAATGAGGTCTACCAAGTACACATATTTACATTTTCTGGACGAAACTGTGATTCACATTAACTTTGACAATTTTAGGGGGGGGGGCGCCCCCTTAATTCCGCCACTGTTACTAGATACAGAAAGCACTAAAACTAATGAAGTTGACACTGATGCAGTGATATTAATTTATTTCTTAGAAGTTTATGCCTGTAGCTACCAACCACAGTAGAAGTTTATATATTTACAAATAGATTTTTTTCACTGGTTTGAATTTGATGGTTAAAGCATTATGTTTCATTTCTTAGTTAGATGTAATAAACTATACTTGTACAGAGCATGCCTTTGGATGAAACTTTTGCCAATTTGGAGAGGGATTAGAGACAAAACACTAATTAGTAAAAGGTTTAAACTATATTTTTGCATCAAATGTCTTTAATTTATTAGCTATTAATATATTGTATTCACAATTCAAGAGAATAAGACAAGAATTTAGGAAATTTTCCTTTTTCATACATCTCAAGAAAAAGAAATTTGCATCATGTAAATTTTTTATGAAAAATTGTCCATGTGTTAGCCTGGCTGTAATATTTATTTTCTGTTTGTATCCTTATTACATGTAAAACATTTCTCCAACACCCTAACTCTTTGTCACAAAGCATCCTTAGCCCAGTACTTTAGTTTAACTGTAAAATCACTTATTTGCGTGGGGTTTAATTTTTTTGAGGTTTAAAGGAAAACTATTGGTTTTTTAGCTCACCTGAGCCGAAGGCTCAAGTGAGCTTTTCTGATCACATTTTGTCCGGCGTCCGTCTGTCCGTCTGTCTGTCTGTCCGTCTGTCTGTCTGTCCGTCTGTCTGTCGGTAAACTTTTCACATTTTCGACTTCTTCTCAAGAACCGCTGGGCCAATTTCAACCAAACTTGCCACAAAGCATCCTTGGGTAAAGGGGATTCAAGTTTGTTCAAATGAAGGGCCACGCCCTTTTCCAAGGGGAGATAATTATGAATTAGAGAAAAATTAATGGCATTTTTAAAAAATCTTCTTCTCAAGAACCACTGGGCCAGGAAAGATGAAACTCATGTGGAATCATCCTCAGGTAGTGTAGATTCAAGTTTGTTCAAATCATGACCCCCGGGGCTAGGGTGGGGCCAAAATGGCCGACCAAAGTTTCACATAGGAATATATAGGAAAAATCTTTAAAAATCTTCTTCTCAAGGACCACTGGGCCAGGAAAGATGAAACTCATGTGGAATCATCCTCAGGTAGTGTAGATTCAAGTTTGTTCAAATCATGACCCCCGGGGCTAGGGTGGGGCCAAAATGGCCGACCCAAGTTTTACATAGGAATATATAGGAAAAATCTTTAAAAATCTTCTTCTCAAGAACCACTGGGCCAGGAAAGATGAAACTCATGTGGAATCATCCTCAGGTAGTGTAGATTCAAGTTTGTTCAAATCATGACCCCCGGGGCTAGGGTGGGGCCAAAATGGCCGACCCAAGTTTTACATAGGAATATATAGGAAAAATCTTTAAAAATCTTCTTCTCAAGAACCACTGGGCCAGGAAAGATGAAACTCATGTGGAATCATCCTCAGGTAGTGTAGATTCAAGTTTATACAAATCATGACCCCCGGGGCTAGGGTGGGGCCAAAATGGCCGACCCAAGTTTTACATAGGGATTTATAGGGAAACCTTGTAAAATCATCTTTTCAAGTACTTCAAAGCTATGATTAGTGATATTAATATGGAATCATCTTCAGGTAGTGTAGATTCTAGTTTGTTCAAATCATGAACCCCCGGGGGGTTTAAATTTAAAGCCCCCCCCCCCCAGTAAACTTTTAGTTCTGATCTGATATGTGCTTTTTCCTAGCCAATGTGCTCAGGTGAGTGCTGTGGCCCCTGGGCCTCTTGTTGGGATTTTGTGGGAATTTTGTGGGAATTTTTGGGATTTTGTGGGGATTGTGGACATAATTCGATCAGGGGTCTCTCCACACCAATGAAAATTAAACACCAATGAAAATTAGTGACTTCATAGTAATTAAAAAGAAAATTAATAGACAAATCTTTATTTGGCAAGGAACTTTCTGTTTTGTTTATAGGACAGTCCCCCTGGAGGTTGGCATAATTAATTTCCTTATCACCATAACAAGGTTCCAGGGTCAACAATCTGAATTCATGACAAAATTCTAATGTACGGATAAGGAAAATACTAAGGAATTTGTCAGCTCATATCTTTATTTAATTAGCGTCAAGGATGAAAGCTCATCATGTCTGTTAATGTCATAAGAGGGAATTTTTTTGCAAACAATAAAGACCTTAAAGGCAACCAAAGCACTGGAAGTACTGGGAAGTTATCAAAATTTAAGTGGATCTTGAAATGTTAACATATCTATAACAACAATAGGTACATGTATATCTTAACTATTAGCATATTACATCCTCTACTAAAAGTGAACTTTAATAAGATACACCTCCCCTCCCCCCTTCAGCAAAATAAACAAAAACTATTTTGTAACAATATCTTTATGGTTCTAGTCTCACACTAATATTGTATGTTCTGGTATTGAGGATCAGATGCAACATCCAGTCAAATGACAAAGTCATTACACTGTACAAACTCAACGTCCAGTCAAATGACAAAGTCATTACACTGTACAAACTCAACGGCCAGTCAAATGACAAAGTTACAAACTCAACATCCAGTCAAATGACAATGTTACAAACTCAACGTCCAGTCAAATGACAATGTTACAAACTCAACGGCCAGTCAAATGACAAAGTTACAAACTCAACGGCCAGTCAAATGACAATGTTACAAACTCAACGTCCAGTCAAATGACAATGTTACAAACTCAACATCCAGTCAAATGACAAAGTTACAAATTTAACGGCCAGTCAAATGACAAAGTTACAAACTCAACATCCAGTTAAATGACAGTGTTACAAACTCAACATCCAGTCAAATGACAATGTTACAAACTCAACGTGACCAATCAAATGACAAAGTTACAAACTCAACATCCAGTCAAATGATAAAGTTACAAACTCAACGGCCAGTCAAATGACAAAGTTACAAACTCAACATCCAGTCAAATGACAAAGTTACAAACTCAACGGCCAGTCAAATGACAATGTTACAAACTCAACGTCCAGTCAAATGACAATGTTACAAACTCAACATCCAGTCAAATGACAAAGTTACAAATTTAACGGCCAGTCAAATGACAAAGTTACAAACTCAACATCCAGTCAAATGACGAAGTTACAAACTCAGAAAACTACAGAGGCTTCTGTGAAAATTTTATGGGTTCTTCCACAAAGATGGTGGCTAAGGAAAGTGTGGATTCAATCATCTTGCCAGTTCATGGTCTTATCCTCTTCCACACAGTGTTTCAGATAATAATACACAGGGCTTACGTGCGATCGTCACCTCTGGAATCTCTGGGGTCCGTCTTTATGTGTACCATATATGTGTATTGTTTGAAGTTTTTATGAGATAGATCGCCGTTCCTTTTCAAATAAATTCATGCCGAAACTCAAGTTCAAAATACACCAGCTTGCTATATTTGAAAACCTTTATGTTCAAAATGAATTATTTCTTTAGCAGCCATTACTTTAAAAGTAGGTAATTTAGGGCTTACTTTTGATTTAGGTAGTCCGATCCTTAGCTTTATAAAATTAGCAGTAATCAAAAATACACATAAAGTATGTCTGAATCCACAAAGTTTTGTAAATTCATCCACAATATTTCTTAAAGATTAAAGTTAATCATATTATATAGGAAAAAAAATGGTCAAATCTCCAATATTTTTGCAGAAAAAGCGAATTGGAATATCAGCAATGCATTTTCTAATTGCAAATTGATCAGCAAATATATTTTAGGTAAAAAAACATAGGTATCCAGGTATTCAGAGAAATATGATTTTTATTCTTATTTGGTATTTTTATCTTCTATTTTCGTCATGTATTCTATATAACATAGTGTAAACGGCTTTTGCTATCACTGCAAGACACCACAAATCACTTTTTATTTCATATCATGCTAATAAGCATTGGCATCTAAGGCTGGATTCAAGAAAATCTTATCTCTAAAACAGTATTATTTTTTTCCTTTTATAGGGTACAAATGTCAACTTTTATAAGATCTTTTCTAGGACTTCCAAAAACCTTGAATCTTATAAAGATGAATAAAATGAAAATTTTTGCATGAAAAAATTTCATTTTCAAATTTCATTTTAATGCATTTCAAATTAAATATTAATTTTTGGAGTTATCCTTCCTAGCTGAGGATCGGATATCCTTAAGGGGGATGTCCGGTCACCTTTAGTGCAATAAGAACAAAATGTAAACATTTCTTCAAATGGCTAAAATACATTATATTTTGATCATATTTCAAGTCCTTATGATAATGATACAATAAATATGTATAATTGAATGCATATTTTGAATATATAATCTATACTTCTGCTGAAAAATGCTTTTGATGTGCTCTTTAGAACTGCGCAGCTACAGAATTCAGCAGAGCATTTAAAAATACAAATAAATTTTATTTCCAGTTAAAGTTCAAGTTTTCAAGTTCAAAACAAGGTACTGTTGTTTTCTAAACGAGTGTAAAGAAGCATGAAAGTAGTTCATGGATAACAGCACTTAGTCTATTTAGAGCACCGATATTTTTTTCCAGACCTCTTCTTAATATGGAGGTACATGATAATCTTTAAAAAGTAGAAGAGAATTACAGTTGGAAAATGTTCCAAATAATATGAACACCAAGAGGGGAATTGTGTTATTTTGTGACTTAAAGTAATTAG